AATCTAGTCCCCTCATCCCTTTCCTGTATTCTTATACCTTACTCCCCAGGACATATTCAATCCAGTTCCATTGGCCTCCTTACTGCTGCTTGAACAAGACACTTCATATCTTCGATCTGGCCTTTTCTCTGGTTGTCCTCTGTACCTGGAATGCTCTCTCTCTCCTCCACTCTGACTGCTGACCTCCCTGTATTCTTGTAAGTCTCAACTAAAATCTGACGTTCTTTAGGAAGCTTCCCCCAGCCTCTCCTAATTCTAGTGATTTCTCTTTTTTAATTATTTCCTATTCATCTTGTATATGACTTGCTTTGTATGCATTTGTTTGAATATTGTTTCCACCATTTGATTGTAAGCTTCTTGAGGGCAGAGACTGTCTTTTGCTTGTTTTTGTATCCCCAGCATTTAGCATAATGTCTAACACAAAGTGGGTGCTTAATAAATGTTTATTGATTGATCACTCAACTAAATTTATTCTCTTCAAAGTTACCACTATATCTGATCTTTTCTCAATGTATTTGCTGTATTTGATATTGTTGGCTACTCTGTTCTGCTGGATATAATCTCCTCTTTTCGTTTGTTTTCATGATACTATTTGTTCTCTTTCTATCTATTTGCTCCCTCTCCATAACCTTTTCTGATTGTTCATTCATATCACACTTCCTAATAGGAGATTTTCAGAAACATTCTGAATTAGGCCCTCTTTTCTTCTCCCTATACACTCACCCCTTTGGTAACTTTGTAAACTTCCTCATAAAACCCTCATGAACATTTTTAATTGCCATTTCCAAAAATGGTTTCTAGATTTGCATATCCAGCATTAGTTCTTCCCTGAGGTTCAGTACAACGTAACAGATTGCCTATTGGACATTACAAACTGGATGTCCCAGAAGTGTCTCAAATTCAATACATTTTAATCTGAACTCATTATCTGACCCCCTTCCCTCACTCCTCCTCTCTTCAATATTTCACTGTTTATGGCAAATGAACCACTATCCTTCCAGTCTCCCTTGGCATTATTCTTGATTCCTCCCTCTCACCCCATCTTTCCATTTTCTACCTCCACAGCAACTCACACACCAGATTCCTCTCCATTCTCACAGCTAACATCATGGTTTAGCCATTCATTACCTCTTGCCTAGATGAATGTAACAGCTTCCTAACTTTGCTTCAAATATATTACTACCCCAGCCTCTGCTACACACACCATTGCCAATATAATTTCCCTTAAGTGCAGATCTGACCACGTGACTCCTAAACTCAATCAAGTCTGGTAGCTTCATATTGCCTTAAGGGTAAAATGTAAATTCTTCTGTTTAGTTTGTGAAGTCCCATAAACTGACTCCAGCACATCTTTTCAGAAGGCATTATTCTCTGTCCCAAAGTAAGCAATCCAGCCAAACTGGCTTTTTTCTCTGTTCCTCACACTTCATATTCCATCTCTCAAATTTGTCCCTTTGCTCTGGCCATCCTTCATGCTTGGAATGTACTCTCTTCCTCTCTTTAGGATGTGTTTAAGAACCATCATGAAGCCTTCTTTGGCTTTTCAACTGCTAGGGCTCTCCCTGGAAAATTCTTTTTTCTTTATATACAAATTAACTAGCAATTGAGGGGATATAACTATATGTGAGTGTATCTATCTATATCTATATATAGACACACATATAGTTATATCCCCTCAATTGCTATATGTGTGTGTGTGTGTATGTGTGTGTATCTGCCTCCAACTCGAACCCTAACCCTCTGCCTCCAACTCTATTATGCTATATGCATATATGTATATACACATGTGTAGTTGTTCACTCCTTTCAGCTATAGCTGACCCTTTTTGATCCCATTTTATGGTTTTCTTGGCAAAGATACTGGAATGGTTTGCCATTTCCTTCTCCAGCTCATTTTACAGATGAGGAAGTTGGGGCAAACAGGGTTAAGTTACTTGCCAAGGGTCACACAGCTAGTATGTGTCCGAGGCCAGATTTAAACTCAGGTCTTTCTGGTTCCAGATACACACACACACACACACATACATACATAAATACATATGTATGTGTAAACATGTACAAATAGTATGCACAATTATATATGTGTTTTCTCCTCCTTTTGAAAGTAATCTTCTTGAGAATATATCATTTTATTCTTTGTATTTGTCTTGCCAGAACCTGGTTCAGTAATATTTAGGTAACAAATTGTTGACTGATGAAGCTGAATAATGTGTTATAGGCCAGTCTAGACCTGGCAAATACTGATGGTTGTGACTGAGAGCAATGAACAGTGGAGGAGACCAACTTCATTTTGCTAATTGGGCCTCACTTTCGTGTGATAAGAATTCAACGCTGCCTAATCAACGAAAATCCATGACAGGGAATACTCTGTGTGTGTATATAGCAAAAATGTCTTTCAGGTGAGTGAAGCCTGGACCAGTGAGAAGAAGGAAACACCTTTCAATTCAATGAAAAAAAATTGTTCATATTGACTGTTGGGTAGTTTAAAAATAAGATTGAAGGGCTAAAGTTTTAAATTTTTAATCCATTTTTGTTGCTGTATAGTTATAGCCTCATCTATCTGTTCATTGTGGTGCCCTGGGATTCATTTCTGTATACTTCTGGGTAATAATTTGTTCTGACCATAGCACCTTATTACCTTTCAAATATATGCCTTTTTAGGGATGGAGTGGTGTCAAAGGTAACAGTGTCAAAGGTAACAGCCCAATGTGTGTGTGTGTGTGTGTGTGTGTGTGTGTGTGTGTGTGTATGTATGTTTTGGTGAGGCAATTGGGATTAAGTGACTTGCCCAGAGTCACACAGCTAGTGAGTGTTACGTGTCTGAGGCCGGATTTGAACTCAGATCCTCCTGAATCCAGGGCCAGTACTATATCCACTGTGCCGCCTAGCTGACCCACAATGTAAACATTTTGAAAGAAAATTAAGATGCTATATGACCCTAGAGGTTCTTTCATGGGTAAATAAATAATACATAAATCTACTGCTGAGTTATACCCTTTAGCACAATGTTTATGAGAATTTGAAATAGACATCTATTACATACTCAAATTAGAGACAATTGAGATAAGACAGTTCATTTCTCCTTGGGGAATCATTTGCTTATCATCTTGGGCAATACCAACACTTTTCAGTGGACCAATGCAACTTCATCCACCTCCCTCCTTCACTGACCACGTCAACTAGAATGCAGTGCTTCTCCCAAAGTGGTTTTTTTTTTTAAAATATGTACACAGTAGAGTAGGCTCTTAATAAATGCCTATTGACTGATGGATTGATTTTGCACCATGGATTGAATCCAAATTCCGTTACCACATCTTTCTACATGATATCACAAACCACCTGGCTATGATTTCCTTTTTGCTTACAAAGCACTCTGGTGTCCTAGTTAGAGCACTGTACTTAGAATCAGGATGATCTGTGCTTAAATCTTACCTCACAGAGTTGCTAAGAGATGTGTCCCTGGGCAAATCAGTTAGTCCTTTTGGTCTCAATTTCCTCATCTATAAAATGAATGGAGTCGGACCTGATGATCCCCATGTGTCTTCCAGCTCTAAATCTATTATTATTCAATTATGCAGACTATCCACTTTTAGTCAAAAGCATTTACTCTTATCATTCTTGGAAACTTCTTCTAGGCCAAGTCTTCTTCCTTTCATGTAAGAAGTTGATATAATTTTACCCTTTCTTCACAGCACCAGGAGCACTGATCCCTCTATTTTGTAAAATGTGGACATCAATTATTTCCTCTAAGTACTTACTTAATGGTCATCCGAGTAAGCCCTTGGAATACGTGTCAGTGTGGCCTTAGACTCTAAACTCCCAGAAGACAGGCCCTTGGCCTTGTGTGAGTGAAAAAGAAGCTTAATTCATAATGAGGTCATAGACATTTAGAACTGGAAGGTGCCTTAGAAGTTTATAGGATCATTTATAGACTTGGAAGGGAATTCAGAGACACTGAAATCTGACCTCCTTATTAAACAGACTCCTCCCACTTGTTACCTGTTGTGGTTGAGGGAGTCACTTTAACTGAATATGAATGCTGTGAAAGTTCTGACTGGTGTTATTCAGGTGATTTTAGACAGTTCTGGTTATGTAGTCCATGGAGAAAGGCTCCTTCTTTTTGTGGTAGGCTAACACACAATGTCCACAAATTGTCCCCTCTTCCATTCTCCCCAAAAGAACTCACTCATGTGTTCCGCATAGATGACACCATCTTTGCAAATTGACAGTATCTACACATGCACCAGGCACCCCATTACACTAAACACACCAGCAAAACTAAAGACAAAGCTAACCGACCAGAATTTTTCTTTTTTATTTTACTCCTTGTACAAATCTTAGCTCCACAGAATGTGGTTGGCTGTGAATTTATTCAAAATTGTTACTGGACATGCCAGGTTGTTCCACCTTCTCACCAGCAGCTTTGCTCCCTTTGAGATGCCTCCACCCTGGGGCTGGCTCTCCTGATTGCTAAGTCCTTGCCCAGGACTGCCTTTACATGAAGAGCATTAGCAATGCTCACTCAGCTCCCAGCTCAATTTACTCTCCAGATGGCTTTCCCTCCACACTAGCAGCTCTATCTTCCCCTTTGCCTCATCTCTCTCCACCTCTCTAGTTTCCCTTCAACTTTCATCTTCCTCTGTTAGTACATAAACTCCTCAAGAGCAGAGACTGTCTTTTTGGGGTTATATTTGTATTCTCATCCTTTAGAATAGTTCCTGGAAAATGGTAAATGTTTAATAAGTGTGTTGTTTCTCTACCTAGATATCATTGCCCAGAGTCACACAGATAGTAGCACCTAGTGTGGAGTTTGAAGTGAGGTTTTTCTAATTTCAAGTCTCTTGACCTATTCACTATACCATTCTGCCTCTCAATCAAAATAACTAAATTCCGGTTTTTCCCCTTTTATTTAGGGGCAGCTACGTAGTGAAACGGATAGAGTGCTGGGCCTGGAATCAGAAAGAACTGAGTTCCGATCTGACCTCAGACACTTCCTAGCTGTGTGATCCTGGGCAAGTCAGTTAACTTCACCTTGCCTCAGTTTACCCTTTTGTAAAGTGGGGATGATAGCAGTACCTACCTTTCAAGGTTTTTGTTATATAATAATCGTTAAGCACTTAGTGCCTGTCACATAGTAAACACTATGTAAAGGTTATCTATTATTATTACTATTTACAGATGGGGAAACTGAGGCCTGGAGTGGATAGGTGACTGGTTCAAATTCATACATCTAGTTAGTGGAAGTGCTGCAACTTTGTCTCTGGTCTCTTGAGACCAGAACCAGTGGTCTTTCCTCTGTCTCATGCTACCTCTGCTTGAAGTGAAAGGGCATGGAATTATTTGTCTTACCCCACAAGTTTGGGAAGAAGGGATTCCAGGACACAGAGAGACTGTTAATGGGGGGGCCTGAAAGTGTATGAGATTGATAGGAGTAAGGCCATGCCACCATGGGAGCACTCAGTTTGCTTGCTTCTAAATGGAGAACCACTGGTGGCAGTTTAAATGTGGCATGCAATCTGAAGGACAAGACCAGTTTGGACCACTTGTGTTAATACTCAGCTTAAGGGCCATCTCCTTCATGAAGCCTTCCCTGATTTCTCCCCTTCTCCCAATCTGGCCCAGCTAAAGATGTTTGTCCCTTCTAAATTTTTCTTTCAAGTATTGTGGAATTCTACTTTGCCTCAATTTATTGCATCTCTTATGGCCTTTGTGGGTAGTAGGAACATCTAACTTAGAGTCATAGTAGCTGAATTCAAATTCAAATTGTGTTGCTATCTTGTGTGACCTTAGGCAAATTATTTCATACCCTGCACTCTGGTATTCAAATTCCATGTTGGTATAATGAAGGTTTGGGGCTTCATGATGTCTTTCTAGATCTGGGTGTACAGCTTATGATCCTATTTATGTCACTACTCTTGGATAATGACTCTTGGTGGTCATACTCTTGGTATACTCTGACAAACCCAGTGTCAGTTAGTTTTGAATAACTGCTTTTTTTTTTTTTTTAGTACAAGGAAGGATTCTTCCTCCTACCTGCCCCTCCCCCCAGTGCCTGCAACTTCGATCACCTCCATCCCCCACTCCAATATTGGAGAGATGGGCGAAGTGCCAGGAAATGACTTTGGTGTTAAAAAAATAAAAGGAATCAATACTTTTTTTTGGGAAAAAAGCCACAAAAAGCCACAATAGATTCTCAATTACTGCCCAGTCTTCAGTCCTAGACATCATTTGCCACCAATGTCTCTGACAAAGAGACAATTTAGCCATTCATACTTAAGGCTACCGGTGATTACAAGCCAAGGAGGTCAGGCACAAGCATGGCTTCCTCATTATAGGCTGTTTCCCAAAGGTTAGTTTGTACCCTCTAGAGAGGTGAGTGAGCAGTGAATGGTAACTGACAATGGCAAATTGGAAGGCTGCTTTATTGAGTCACTTAAAATTCAAAGATCCATGTGAATGAGATTGATGGGCGAGTGTACTAAGGCAAGGGGGGAACTTGGTTGGTGCTGTGTTTTGATTTATTGGCTATCCAAATTTTCCTAGGGCTCTCTCCTGTCTTCCATAAGAGCTGGATCCTCTTTAGCAGTATTCATTACATCTTTGTGCAAACTCTTGCCCACAGTGCAAAATGAGTCTCTGTATTTATTGGCAATCCCATGTTTACACCAACTGGCACTCTCTGTGGGTCCTCTGAGGCCAAGCCTACATTATGAACTATACATTTGCCAACAAGAAAATGGAAATGTTCATCAAGTGAGGCATGCGAGAAGAACTCTCTGCTGCCTTTTTCAACTCTGAAATTGTTTTCTTAAAAAAAAAGTTAATAAATAGATAAAAAGTAACCCACAGGGCATTTTATAGTCATAATGGTCTTTCTATCAGTTTTGGATACTTCAGAATACAAAGAAGTAGCCCTGGCACGTTGAAGGAAAGGAAAATATATGCTCATTGGTCTGTTCTTCTAAAGGGAGGGGCCTTACTGCAGACTAGATACCTGTCTGTTGTACTGTGTCCAGGTCTCTCTGTAGCAAATAAAGAGTTTGGACCGTTTTCTGTGGGATCTTTGATTCTTGGAAGAGACTCTAAGGCTCAGGTAAAAAGCAAACAAAACCCCAAACAAACAAATAATAACAACAAAAACAAGAAAAAGAAACATGAAGAACCCTACCTCTCCTCCTAACCCTTCATCCACCAAATGTGTTCCATGGATAAGCAAATAAGTTATCTTACTTTGCAAAACCATAACCAAGATACTTTGTAGATCGAAGGCATCTTCTTAGCAAATGTGCACCCTAGTGGAAACCTGTGTTCAAAGAGCTGTGTGTGTTCAAGCATTTTAAAAATGTTCTAATGCAGGGATACTTAAGGGATCCAATAAAGAGAAGTAGTGATTATGTCATGTGACCTCTATAAGGGAGGATCTAGTCCAATGCCCTCATTTTATATGCAAATACAATAAGACTCAGAAAAGAAAGGTGACTTGTCCAAGGTCACTCAGGAGTTAGTAGCAGTAGCTGGAATTTGAACCCAGGCCCCAGTTGCTCTGGTTCTAAATCAGTGTTCTTGAAATTCCACCAAGCCAAGTTCTTTCTTCTGTGCTAAGTCACAGGGTGACTATGTATATCCAAATGTAAACACTTTTTCTGGGTTTAAAGAAACAAAAAAGAAAAGAACAGAACAGAAAAGAAAGAAATCTGCAGAATAAAATATGGTGAGATGAAAGGATCTAGAAGACTGAGAACACAAGCCATATGAATTAGTGAAATTTTGATCATTCATTTATCATCCTGGAAAGTTTGTTATTTCTCTTGATTCTCTGGATGTCTCTTTAGCCCCATAAAAATGTTTTTTAAAATTTCATCCACATCCCTTTTCATTTTGTCTATTGTTGAGTTCTCGAGACTGACTTAACAACTACCTAAAGTAAAATCTTAGAATTGGGGAGGGAGAGGACCTTAGAAATGACCTACTTTAATCTGTTACAGCAGGCAGCCCCTTGGAAAGGTAAACAGTTAATCAGCCTCCTTGCTCTCTTTTGTATTACTCATAATACATTGTGTGTATTAGATTCCCCATTACAAGGTAAGTTCCTGGAGGTCAGGAACTTTTGTGTGTATGTATATCTGTATCCTAGTGACTAGCACAGGACCTTACACATTGTAGGTGTTTCACAATTATCTATTGAATTTATTGAGCCACTATTGAGCCACATTTCTTCTGATTTTCTTCTGGCATGCTTTGATATTGGCAAAATCGTGGTGTATTCATACCCAATTTACTTTTCCTTGTCCTTATGTCTCAACAAAACAAAACAAAACAACCTACTACAGAGTTGTAGAAAATCTAGAAAAGGGCAACCAAAAATGACCTGGGAGATTAGGGAAGATAACTAAATTAGGGGAAGATGAAAACTGAAAGCAAAAAGGATCTGAGTCTATTAAAATATTAAGGATAAGAATCAGGTGAATTCAGGCTCATCTACTATGTATAATGGACCCTGGGGCACACTTTGAAGACTAAACTGATCATCATAGACAAAAATCAGATTAAGTTCACCCCTAACCTTTTTTTGTTTTGAGGTTAAATGACTTGGCCATGGGTACATGTAAATGTCTTAAGGTGGATTTGAACTCAGGTTCTCCTTACTCTAGGTCTGGTGCTGTATCCTCGGTGCCACCTAGCTGATCCTAACCTTTAAACACTGACACCAGAGGGGACAACCAGGCTATTGAAATGTTTGGACCATGATTTTAGTCCATGATATATCACTTTATCTGATAATCTTTTAAATATACGCGCATATGTACATATATATATTTAAAATATGTGTCTCTACATATGCATGTGTCTCTATATATGTATAAAATATGTATATGTATATATTTGACTAGACTTGTGATTTTATCAGTGTGGTCAATTCAGGGTGTCAAATCTCCCTTAACTGGTATAAATTGACAGCTTAGAGTCTTAATGAGTTGTCTCTGTGGCACTGAGGGGTTAAGTGGTTTATTAAGACAGCTGTCAGAGGTAGGAGCTAAATTCAGGTCTTCCTGACTCTGAAGTCATCCCTTGACCCACTATGCCACTTGGTCTCTCTCCATAACCTTGAGGTGCTCAAGTATAAGAACTATTGATATTTAGGGGAGCTAGGACAAATGAGCAAGTGAAAGTTGTAGGGAGAAATTGCTTATCCCATACAGATGTCATTTTATGTACTTGTGGGTGTCATTAATGTCAAGTTGATGATCTTGATGTTAATGTGTAAAGCTGAGAAATTTGGGATTCTGGCCTTAATAGAGATAGCTTAGCACATTTGCTTCAAGTGGTAGAAGGTTAGGGATATTTTAAAAGTTTCTTTGTTTTTTAGAACTAAAGCCAATCGCTTGAAACAAACTCAAAAGAAAAGACCAAAGGAATGATCCTAAAAGATATTTTTTTGTTAAATAAATAGCACTGGGAAAATAGACATGAAACAGTATTAAAATGGCTGTGATTATTACTTTCTCAGCATTCATCTGATAAACTGAGCAACACGAAGCAATGATTGCTACTTTAAAAAAAATATGAAGAGAAAATAAGCTATTCATTTAGTCAACCAAGTAAGGATAGCGCTCAACTCCTTCACAAGATAGCTGGGTACATTGCTTATCATTGAGGTGAGTGACAACAAAGCAAAGCAAAGAAATGTCCCAATGTTTCTTCATTCTGAGGCTGAGTCTCCAGTCTTGGGGTTGGTAAGCTCTGTTGCCATGAGGTTACAATGCGCGTGTTCGGCTCAGCTGTGCACAGGGAGGAGTCCACAGGAGGGATGCTTTGCTCCTCTTTTCTGTTTAGGTCCAGTCCTTTCTTTGCCATTCTCCTCTTTTCACCGAAGCACCTGGTCTCTCACTGACTTAAAAACTCTCAGAGAAGGCCCATTATGGCCTTATTTTGTAGTCACCATGGAGAAGAAGCAGTGGTGGAGATGAAGACAGATTCCATGCTATTCTGGTCCTGCATTCAGGGGCTGGGCTGGCTCGTGGGGTACTGTCAGCTGGGGACAGGCCCTGGGAGCTGGTTAGCCCCTCACCCCAAGCTTAAGAAGACAGGGAGATAATTTTTGTGTATCACTTTCTTCTGGGGGTATGAAAGGTGTGCAAGAGGGATCAAGCATTGCCAATATGAATTCACGGTGTATCCCTTGCACTCTCTGTCTTTGAAGCTCTGTAGTCCACAGAAATAAAGTCATTCTTCTGTTTGCCTATTGCTGTCACTGTTAGCAGTGCTTCTGATGCATGCCATGTAGAAAGTACTATTTAGCCAGCCAGAAACAAACCAGAGGTGCCTCACAGTTTGGGATCACTGCTGGAGTCTTCTTTCTAAAAGTATTCAGTTCTCCTGTCTCCTGCTCAGCACAATGGTGCAAAAGACCTTTAAAAGGCCAAAAAGAAAGAAAATAAAATGCAGATACAAAAATTCAGGGCTTCATGGAGTTGTTTTGTGATTCATAATGAACACTATCACATAGGTTTGTCTTCCTGGTCCCCCATACCAGGGATCATCTTCTCACTTTCAGCTCAGCTCCAGTTTCTCTTCATCCACTGAGTCCTTCCCTCTTACTCCCTTTGCCAGGGGCTCATAAATGATTGTTTTTGGAGAGATAGGCGATCAGTGCCACAGCCACTCCCACATAGAGGCCAGTTCCAATTGTGATAGAGAGCACAGCCAGGAAGAGTGCCCGTCGGGAACTGGTGCTGGCTTGGTGGAAGTCACCCTTGGCCACAGCTTTGTTAGTCTGCAGAGTGGAAAAAGAGAAAAGGGTGGGGTGTAGACAATAGTCATCAGCAAAGCTGTGATTTGGCAGAAGTATAAAGAAAACTTTTCTATCCTTTTAAACCTTGAGCTCCCCTCTATTTTGCAAAGGGAAACCTTAGCAATGTAGAAAAGATAAAAATGGAATTTCCTTTGAGGGACAAGATTTGAGTTATATTCCTTTGACCTTGCACTTTGTGTTAAAACTACCAGCAATAAGAATTTAGGATTAATGGGATGGTTCTTCATGGCTTGAATGCCCACCCTTCTTGCCTCTGCCTCTTAGAATGTTCATTTTTCTTCAAGACTCAGCACAAATGCCCCATCCTATATGGGGCCTTTTCTGCCTTTTGCCCATCCCTCAGATGCCTTCTTTTCTAAGGTAACTTTATACCTACTTAGCATATAACTTAGCTATATTTATGCACTTGGATATATTGTGGGTATACCTATATATGTCTATGTATATGTGCATGTACATACATTTGCATAAGTGTGTACATATACAAACATAAATAAATGCATATTCATACTCATATGTAAGTATATACACAAATATCCATGCATCTGTATTCGTTGGTGTCTTCCTCATTACAATTTAAACTCCTTGAGGGAAAGAATTGATTTTTATTTTTTATTGTATTCCTAGTTCTTGGCTCTTAATAATGTTTGCTGATTGATTGCCCTTGTCCTCAAGAAAAGTACATTTTGCTGGTTGGGGCTGAGGTAATTAGGTGGTACAACATAAAAAAAAAGCAAAGAAAAAGCAAATACAATGTAATTTCAAGAGGAAAAAAAGACTGTGCTAATAAGTGGACAGAAGGGATTCAGTAGAAGCCTTTTGTAGGAGGTTTCAGACATGATCATTTGATTTGACTGTGGCAACTAAGAGGGAAGTAATTCCAGTAGCACTAGTCAAAGTTCGAAAATTATACCCCATCAAATCGTTTGGGCTCACAATTTTGTCTCCTCAATAAGTATGGGTGTTGCCTCCCAGAGGATTTATGTGTTTACTCTAACACATGAGACTTGACTTTCTAAAAATAAATATCTACATACTATGGACAGCAGAATTTTCTGGCATTAAAATATGAGCATTTATAAAAAGCAGGCTTAAAAGTGAAAGAATAGCATGGTGAATAGAAAGTTGACTCCAAATTCAGTACAGCCTGCATTCAAGTCTTGCTTCTGATACATACTAGGTATGTGACAATGGACAAATTGTTGAAACTCTCATTGGTCTGGGCAAATCTACAAGACAGTAAATTACAGATTAGTTACTGATCTGCATAAGTAAAGTATGTTTGCATACCAAGAACTCTATACATGGATTGTTGAGGGCTGGCTCTAAGAGTCCAATCTGGGTTGAAGATCCAGGACAGAGTTTGACTCTTGCCCAGGCTTAACCCACAGGGCTCAATCATTTAGGAAGCAGGGCTCTCCAAATCTCCCCCTGCAAGGGAGGCTCCTGAGACATTACTTCTCACTCTTTGAACCTTAGATTTACACATTCACTCTTCTAGGCAGGTGGCACCAAGGCACCTGGGAAAACCTTGGAAAATACAACCCAATCTAGGAACCCTGATAACGAGGAAATGTATGTTGTCACGTCCTCAGCAGATGTTTTGGGGAGTGTCTCACAGGGAGGACTCTTTGAAGTTAGGCTAGACTTTTTCTGTGTATCCTGTACCCTCAGATGAATAAACTGAGTCAGTTCTGCTGGCCCACATCTTTCTTTATTTCGCGCTCTTCCGTTCGGTGCGCTGTCAACAATGGATAAAATCACAGGTCTGGACCAAAAACAATTGTTAAACACATCCTTCATTTCATCTCCTGGATGTTTTACCCTAGATGGCAACCTACCTAGCTTACCTACTCATCTTGGCTTAGCTTTGTTTATAACAAGAAAGTGACCTCCTCTAATATCCCTTCCAGCTATAAGATTCTACAGCTCTCTGGCGGCCAGGTATTGGGTTCAGTACTTGTAATATCTCGAAATACTTGGTTTGTACTTAAAGTAATCCTTTATGGCAGTTCTGTGAGTACTCGCCACTTTAATTACAGCTCATATCATACAATAGGGTGGACTGGCCAATGGGGACCAGTCTTCACAGTTTGGGGAAGTCGGATAAGACTGAAAAGTGACTGAACAGCAACAATGATTTAAAGTAAAAATATTGAAGGCATTTTTTTTTAAAGGTAATGAGCAGTTATTATGAATAGTCCTTTAGATGAAACTCTGGAAGTAATCCCCAGGCCATCTTTTTAATTAACGTTGTTAAATGTCATCTGGTTATTTGGTTCACTGCTACTTAGTTTGTATCATCTTGCTATTACCAAGATAGAGTAAAAAGAGTGAGGGATTTCTTTACCAAAGGCCAAGCCCGAGCACAACCACCTTTCCCTACTTTTTTTTCCCTTATCTGGAGATAGTCCTCTCTCTCCCTCTCTGATCACTGGAGTTCAAAACACACAAGAAGAGCTAGCACATAATTACACCTTACTGTATATTGTTATGGAAACATCAGTTGGACAGTCAGTCAACAAACATTTATTGATTGTTTGCTTTGTACCAGATCCTGTGAAAAGAGCTGGGGATACAGTAAAAGGTGAAAACCTGGCCTCAACCCTTATGGAGCTCATATTCTAATGGTGGAGTGATCATGTAACTAATTAGCTAAATGAGTGTATATGTGTGTGTGTGTGTGTGTGTGTGTGTGTGTGAGTATGTACACAGAGTCACAAGCAGACATATATATATATACACATATATGTATATATATAATATATATACATGTATACATATATATTTATATATACATATATGTGTATATATATAATATACATACATGTATACATATATATTATATATATGTATATATATGTGTGTGTGTATATATATATATATATCTATATATCTAGATATATATAGATATCTATATATATATCTAGATATATAGATATATATATATAGATATCTATATCTATATCTATATCTATAATATATATATATATATATATATATATATGCTAGATATATGCTAGTGGGTCCCTGTGGATTTGTGGCAAAACTCCAAGCTTTGGTGCTTTCAGTGACTGTGCAGAAATCATATTGTTTTGTTGTTGGAGAATGGTAACCAGGCAGGGTGGTAAAGCACTGTCCCAGTATACCACCAAAAATCACGTTTTGCAAAAGCAGCAGGTGTTGTATTCAGCTCTAAATGTTAAATCAACCACTTGGCAATGGTGAATTCTTCCATGGGGAGTGTTTTCCTTTCCAATAAAATGTTTATATCTCCATTATTCATTCATCATATTCTTTTTTAGTTTTATTTTTTATTCAATAATTTATTTTTAGTTTTCAACATTTACTTTCACAATATTTTGAATTCTAATTTTTATCCCCATCTCTCCCCTCCCCACACCCTAAGATGGTGTGCATTCTGAGTACCCCTTACCCCAATATGCCCTCCGTTCTATCTCCACCCCCTCTTATCCCCTTCCCCTTCTATTTTTCTGTAGAGCAGAATAGATTTCTATACCCCTTTTCCTGTAAATCTTATTTCTCAGCTGCAAGTAAAAACAATGTTTAACATTCATTTTTAAAACTTTGAGTTCCAAATTATCTCCCTTCCTCTCTCCCTACCCACCCTCATTGAGAAGGCAAGCAATTCGATATAGGTTATACATGTGTAGTCTTGCAAAACACTTCCATAATAGTCACATATTCTGTTTTATGCTATACTTGTTTTTCTGTACCAGTATTGTCTCTCTTTACTAGATCATAAGCTCCCCCCCCCAAGTCTTATTTGTTTATGTATCTGATGTAGCACCTTGCATAGTTGTGGACATTTAATTTCATTGGAGTAAGTGAACCTCTCTTTATCAATGCAGAGTCAGCTTCTGTTCTGTAATTTATAACAGAGAGTTCCCTAAGACCCTGAAAAGTTAAGTGATTTGCCCAGAGCACAAAACTGTTATGTGTCAGAGATGGAACTTGAAATCAGGTCTACCCATTTCTTTCTGAAAGAGATAAACTCCTTCAAGGCAGAGACTATTACATTTGGGAGTTTGAATCGTGGCAGTATCTGGCACATGGTGGGATTTTATTCAATGCTTGTTAAATGAAAATTGAGTTTCTGATTCTGAGATCAGCTCTCTATACATTCCATATTGCCTCCCATATTATGCCTCAGCACATATTGGTCGCTTAAAAATTTTTGTAGAATTCAATTGAGTGATAAAATTAAAATTGTATAATCTGGCACTTAACTAAGTAGTAAGCTTAAGAAAATTACATTTTGATATTCTTTAATATAAATGTCCTATCTTGAAACCACCACAGATATCTAACTGGAATAGGCTGAAGTAGGCCCAATACATAGCACAAATATTTTATAGTAATGAGATCACCTCTGCTCTATGAACTAAAAGAGGGATTATTAGTGAGATCTGGCTATGAAATTTTTATACTCAGCTGATTACTAGAGGGGATTTGGCTTATCATGATAGCTAGCTGAATATTCTCTTTATTTATCATTAAAACAAATGGCCCTTTCCTGAAACTGTGTGCTCATCTGATAAAGAAATCTTATCTAATAGTTCTTAAGTAAAAGAAGAATTAATATAAAGTTAAAAAATAAAAGTTACAGTAGCCCCCTACTAAAAATGTCAACCAGGAATTCTTTCTTTTAAAAACGATATGTTTCATTGGTGCCTTTTGTCTTTATCTCACAGATATAGGCCCATCGGATCACGTTTTTAGAGCTCAAAGACACTGCAGAGACCATCTAGTCCAATTTCTTCAGTTACAGATGAGGAAACTGAATCCCATGGAGTTACCTAAGATGACTTATGACTTACCTAAGATCTTACAGATAGTGTGAAAAGTAAAATGCACTCTAGTCACTCTGATTCTAAAGTCAGAACTCTTTCCAATGCCACACTGTAGTATATGTGTCCAATACTAAACCCTTCCTTGTG